CTGTCCTACAGCCCCCACCTGGCCCACTCCAGGCCCCCCACCTTCCCCACTCCTCGGTCCCAAGTCCCCCACCCTCCCCCTCTCGTCCCGGCGTCGCCGCCCCGGTGCGGGGTGTCCCGGAGGCGCCGCGGGGAGCGGGCCCGTCGGCTGCTGGCAGTGGGAGGAGCTTGGGGCAGCTCCAGGACAGGTGGCCCGTACGCCGCGACTCCCAGCTTGGGGGATTACCGGGAAGGGGCTTTCCGAAACCACGGGGCCGTTGGGTGGCCTGGCGCCCTGAATCTTTCAGGATCTCCTTTCCCCAGAGGAGCCGGCCGTGGTCTGCTTCCCCACCCAAGACCACGGGACGCCAGGATGTACCTTTCCCCATAAGCTGGGCAGCCCTCCACGCCGGGATGGGGGCGCGGGGGAAGGGTGTGTGGGGGTCCATACCCTTGGACAGCCGCGCCTGAGCCAGAGCAGGGGCTGTTGAGTGGGCGGGGAGAGGGGTGCGCCTGCGGTGCCGGGTTCCCGCCTGGGGCTGCAGCCTACTGGGCTGCTCCAGGGCACCCACGTCCCCTCCCAGCCTGCGCGGGGTCGAACCCCTCTGTCCTGGGCTCTGCCCAAGGAACAGGTGCCTTGTGGGCTGGGATGGCAGTGCCAGGACTCGGGCGCACAGGGCTCCCAGCATCCCGGAGCTCCAGTTCCAGTTCCGGCTTCGTCTGCAGCCGGGGGTGGGGCTTGTGACTGCCAGCCCCAGAGCCCTATTGAGAGGACCAGCAGGGCTGGGGAGAAGCCTGGGCTCCCCGAGAGGGAGTAGGTGCCCACTGGTTGCATGGGGTGGGGTGGCCATGTACAGTAGCCTGGGGCTTCAGGAGGAGGTGAAGTGACATGGTGCTATTCCCAGGGGCCGGTGTCCCTAGGGGAGTTTGAGCTGTTGAACCCTCACCCCTGTGGTGGATGCTCAAGGGGTCTGAGTGCAGAACTGGGTCCGCAGGCCTGAGGGTCGGGCAACCTGCAGCGCCCCGGGAAGGTTGGACCTGCTGTGTGGGAGTCAGTCAGGCTCCTTTAGAAGGAAGGGACCAGGATGCCCGGAGTGGGAAATGCTCGTGGGAAGAAAGCTGGCCAAATTGGGGAGTCCATCCTGGACTAGGGAGAGCTGGCGGGGGCTCTGAGGGGGGCACCAGGGGTACAGCTTGGCTTTCCCAAGAGGTGGAGCGTTCTGTTTGGGCCCTGTAGGGTGACTCAGGTGTAGGGTGATGGGGAGGGGGTCAGGGGGGCCTTTAGCCTGGATTTCCTTGTTGAAAACACATTTGGGTAGCATGGTAGTTGAGGCACTGAATTTCCATGTGGGTGACTGCAGTTCAAGTCCCGGACCTGGCTTGTGTGCATGCGTGTCCAAAATTCTAAGATTGGAGAAGGGATTGCGGCATGGCCATCACCCCTGTGGGTGATTTCTCACTTTCCCTCTCTGTCTTTCTCTCTGGTGTGGGCATGTGCCCTATGGCAAAATAACTTTAAAAAGAAAAGATATTCAAAGTGGCAAGGAGTGGGGTATTACCCTGCATTGGTTCATGCAGTCAAGGAGCTGGGACAGGGGCAGGGCCTCCCAGGCCATCCGTGTCCACCCCGCCCAGGCTGCCCCTTGCAATGGTGGGTTGATGCAGTGCCCACAGATGGGGCACCAGGACGTGCTGTGCCCCATGAGGGCCCTGTCCTGGGACCAGCAGACGGTGTGATGGTTACGTTGCTCGGACTTACATGTAGATGCCAGACAAATGTGCGTGCATGCCCAAGATCGCGAGAGGAGAATGGAGGGATCGTAGCGTGGCCATCCCCCGGGGGGTGATTTCTCGCTTTCTGTCTGTCTCTGGTGAGTGCCCATGCCCTATAGCAAAAATCTCTCACAGAAACAAAAAGGTCCCGTCCTGGGTCCCAGGAGTCCCTGCCATGCACGCCCCCGGGGGCATGTCCAAGGCTCCAGCCCTCCCCTACTCTGCCCCATCCCCTGCAGGTCTTCGCCCTGATCGTGTTCTCCTGCATCCTTGGCGAGGGCTACATCAACACCCACGAGACCCAGATAAACCTCTGTGTGTTCAACCACAACGAAGATGCCTGCCGCTACGGCAGTGCCATCGGGGTGCTGGCCTTCCTGGCCTCCGCCTTCTTCTTGGTGGTTGATGTGTACTTCCCCCAGATCAGCAACGCCACCGACCGCAAGTACCTGGTCATCGGCGACCTGCTCTTCTCAGGTACCGCCGTGGCACCTCCGCTGGGGCTTGGGAGGTGGAGGGAGGGGGCATTAGCTCTAGAGTCTGGGCCTGGGCCTGAGGACGGAAGCCAGCAGGCAGGCTTTACCTTGTCCTCTTGGCACCCCAGCGTGGCACGTGAGGATCACTGCCTATGGCTGAAGCCCACGGGTGCAGGCAGCTTATGTGGGCATCGGATCTGCAGCTGGGCCAAGGACTTGGTCTTCACTGTCGGCCTCTGCAGCCCTCCCTGCGGCTCCTTACACAGCCCGACTCCGCTCCCCCTCCCGGTCTCCCCAGCTCTCTGGACCTTCCTGTGGTTCGTCGGCTTCTGCTTCGTGACCAACCAGTGGGCAGCCACCAAGCCCCACGACGTGCTGGTGGGTGCCGACTCCGCCCGGGCAGCCATCACCTTCAGCTTCTTCTCCATCTTCTCCTGGGTAGGTGGGCCGGGGAGGCGGGCAGTGAACCTCCCCCGCACCTCTGCCCGCCCTTGGCTCAGACCTGGGCTGTTTTCAGGGCGTGCTGGCCTCCCTGGCCTACCAGCGCTACAAGGCCGGAGTGGACGACTTCATCCAGAACTACGTGGACCCCACTCCGGACCCCGGCACAGCCTACGCCTCCTACCCGGGTGCCTCCGTGGACAACTACCAGCAGCCGCCCTTCACCCAGAATGCAGAGACCACCGAGGGCTACCAGCCGCCCCCTGTGTACTGAGTCCTCGGCCGCTGTGCATAGCAAGGGGGTCAGAGGCCCCGGGGCCCCTTCCACCCTGGACTCTTCTCATAGTGCCTGTGCCCAGAGGGGCTTCAGCTACCACTCACTCAAGGGCATTTTTTAGAAAACGGTTTTAGCTAGACCTGTTTTTTCTGCTTTTAGGGACCCTGCCCTCACCCGGAGCAGCTGCGGGGGGCCCACGTGCCGTCCTGACAAGTGCCTTCGCTTCTTGGCCCCAGCCCAGGGCTGTGGTGGCCGCAAGTATTTGGGTTCTCTGCCAAAGACAAGGCCGGGGAGCCTCACGCCTATCCCCCGGCTGGTGCTGGCCCAGGCTCCCTGCCTCTCACTCAGGTTCGTTAGCGCCCGGCAGGCCGCAGCCCCCGCCTCACTGCAGCAGTGTCTGGGGTTGCCACCCTGTGCCGGGGCCCTCTGGGCTGACAGCCAGGGCAGGCTGGTGCCCTCCCCAGGGCAGAGGGATGGACACGTCCTGCCCCCACCCCCTGGCAGCAAGGGGGGGCTTTGCCTGACTGAAAACACCCAGCTTTATGTAAATATTCTGCTACTGTTGCTTAAGAGGGGTGCCCCACACTTTCAAATGTATTCAGAAGCCTTGGGGACGTTAGATGGTTTGGAGATGGAATAAACATTTTTCTCATCGGTGGTCTGCTGTCATGGCTGGGCCACGGCCGAAGGGGAGGCGGGCAGAGGCCACTCTGGGGCTGGTTCACTCTGAACCAAGTGGCGGGTATGCCGGGGTCTCATTCCTCACGTTCATTCCATCAGCGCCTTAAAATAGCAGCTGTGCTCAGCTTGTAAACAAGACGCCTCGCCAGGCTCCTGCTACTCCTTCCTACAGTCGGGTAGGGGGCGCCTGGGAGCCTCCCTCAGAAGCTCCAGCCCTTGCTGGGGTCCTCCTTGACTCTAGGTGAAGGCTCAGCACCTGACCTCCTGGGACAGGCCCACAGCCACTCCCAGCTTTCCCTTCTGAGTGGGGACAGGGACGAGGCCCTGGTAGTTTTGAGATCCCAGGCACAAAGGACCGGGGCTCCCCTCCCAGGCCCCGTGGCCTCCAAGTCTCAGTACTGTCGCCCTCACAGCCAGAGTTTGGAGAATCACTAGCAAATGGGGACATGACAGAGGGGACAGAGGCTGGCCTGGAACACGCCCTGCCCGTGCTAGGGCACCCAGTCGGAGCACCCACACCCTGCCAGAAGTCTCGCCTCCAAGCATCCATCGTCCACGGCACGGCTCAGCTGTGTCTCCCTGGCTCCGAACCATCAAGTGTCTGTTTCACAAACAAAACCTGACCCAGCCCTGGCCGCAGGGCCCACAGCAGCTTGTCGTTCAAGCTGGCTCAGCCTCTCTCTCCCATTTTTGTCCTGAAACCAGCTCAGACAGAGGCAGGAGGACCTTCCTCTTCGGACAGGACCCACGCTCACTTCCCAGTTAAAAACGTTGTGGTTAAGAGCGCAGCAGCACTACTGAAAGATCTGGAGAAACCCCCAACCAGAGCACATCAGCTGTCTACGGGGAGACGGGGAACCCCGAGTCAAGAAGAGAAGTGCCTTACCAAGTCAACTTTAATGTGAGTCATCCTTCACAGCTGGAGATGCAGCCCCTACTTTGGGAGCTGGCTCCTGGAGCCTGCCCCCCAGGGGAAGATGTGGTCATTCTGGAGAAAACCACCAGCCGAGGTGCGTAGGATGGGCTTTTAGCCCGACGGAGGAGGACTGAGTCCAGGCTGTCCTTGGAGAGGGGTGCCTGTCCCCAGCAGCCGCCTCCCAGGGTCCTGGCACCTCCTGGGAGAACAGAAACTCAACAGTAAAAGCCACAAAAGGGGAAGGAGCGGCAGCATGATGTCACAACAGCCTGCGGCTCTGTCCCTCACCCCAAAGGTGGAGGGGTCGGCACATGGCCAGACCAGAAGCCACTGCAGGAACAGCTCCAGCCTGGTGGGCCTCCCAGCACCTGGAGGGGAGCTGTGAGGAGGGAGGGTGTGGAGACCAGCCCCAAAGGCAGACTGGCTCTGCTCAGGGTGTCCATCCCGACTTCCTCCTCTGCAAAGACCACACGGTGAGCAGGGCGGATGGCGTCCGCTAGGGGGCAGCAGCAGGAGAGGCGAGGGGCTGCAGGCCCTCAGTGGGCAGGGTTGCACTGCAGGATCTGATGAGGGGCAAAGAGCTTCCGGGCAGCCGTGGCCTCCCCCGGCTTGCCCAGCACTGGGCAGTTCTCCTTGTTGTCCAGCCCAGCAGGCTGGCCCGACGGCTTCTTAAAGTAGCAGAGGCGGCACACAGAGTGGTACTTGTCGGCTCCACCAATCACCTCGACCTGTGCGGGGGTGAAGGGCCAAAACTCAGGTCCGGCTGCCACCCGCATCTGCCCACCCCTGGGAGAGAGCAGGTGGGGCTACCTCCTTCTCCGTGCCCAGCCGCTTGGTGTAGGCCGCCTCCCGGAAGCACTCCATGCACACGGCTGTCAGCTTCACCACACTCTCGGCGAGGGGCACCAGGTTCAGGATGGTCCCGAAAGCCTGCATCCACAGGAAGACAGCAGGTGCACTCAGCCGCCTCCCAGGGACTTCCTTCCACACCCTCTGAAGTCAGGAAAATGGCCTTGACCTTGCTCCCCCCAGGGCACCATGACCTGCTCTGCCCCTTACCAATTGAAAGCCCCTGACAGCAGCAGATGGCACTGAACCTGGACAGACTCATGCCCAGGCAGGCTGGGTCTGAGCAGCTTGGCCACGCCCCTTAGCACCCAAGCCCGTCATCTACGGGTGCTGCACTGAGACAGGAGATGCGCTGGGCTGACCGTCTCCGCACAGTGCCCTGCACCGCTGCCAGGCTCTGCCTGCCTCCCAGAGCCCACCCCGAGGCCTGGACCAGAGCCTTACCTTCCTCTGGAAGGTCCCGTCCAGCGCGGCCACGATCACTGTCTTGCCGGCGTTGGCCATGGTCTCGCAGAACTCCACGATGTCGGGGAACTGAAGAGGGTCAGGGAGGAAGAGTAAGCACCCACCCTGAGGGGCAGCTTCCCGGTCCGACAACGTGGCCACTCGAGGCAGCCTGGAGCATAAAATCAAAGTGGCTCAAGGCTCCCAGGGGGCTCCTGAGGCCTGGGTTGGATCCTGATGTCCGTGTGCACACGCTCCCGGCTCCCCAGGACCTAGTGGCAGGCTGCTGCCCGGGGGCTGCCAACACAGGCACCTGTTAGCTGGTGACCTTGGCAACCACTTCGGATCTCTAACTTCGTCTTTTTTTTGCCAGAAGACGCGTTCGCTCAGGGGGCAGGGGGTTGGAAAGCGAGTGAGAAAGCACCCACCACGGGGAAGGGCCATGCCGCAACACCTCCTCCACCCCCCTCCTTATGGGTTTGGGGTATGCAAGTTTTTCAGGCCACTGGGTTCAGGACTCGAACCATGAGGTTGGCCATGTAGGATCCAACTGCTTTAGCCACACCACCAGCTGGCCCTGAACCTGTCTTTTCTTATTATTTTTAAGGTTTCTGCCATAGGGTATGTGAGCTCACCAGAGAGAGACAGAGGGAAAATGAGAAATCATCCCCGGGGGATGGCCACTCTGTAATCCCTTCTCCTTGTCTCAGAATTTGGAGCACGCGCTCGCATCCAGCCTGTTGTATCAAGCTGGCAGGTCCAGGACTTGAACCATGGAGTTGGCCATGTAGGATCCAGACCCTTAACCATCACTCCACCTACTGGCCCCCAGAACCTGTCTCTCCCGCCCCCCCAGGACCTAGTGGCAGGCTGCTGCCCGGGGGCTGCCAACACAGGCACCTGTTAGCTGGTGACCTTGGCAACCACTTCGGATCTCTAACTTCGTCTTTTTTTTGCCAGAAGACGCGTTCGCTCAGGGGGCAGGGGGTTGGAAAGCGAGTGAGAAAGCACCCACCACGGGGAAGGGCCATGCCGCAACACCTCCTCCACCCCCCTCCTTATGGGTTTGGGGTATGCAAGTTTTTCAGGCCACTGGGTTCAGGACTCGAACCATGAGGTTGGCCATGTAGGATCCAACTGCTTTAGCCACACCACCAGCTGGCCCTGAACCTGTCTTTTCTTATTATTTTTAAGGTTTCTGCCATAGGGTATGTGAGCTCACCAGAGAGAGACAGAGGGAAAATGAGAAATCATCCCCGGGGGATGGCCACTCTGTAATCCCTTCTCCTTGTCTCAGAATTTGGAGCACGCGCTCGCATCCAGCCTGTTGTATCAAGCTGGCAGGTCCAGGACTTGAACCATGGAGTTGGCCATGTAGGATCCAGACCCTTAACCATCACTCCACCTACTGGCCCCCAGAACCTGTCTCTAATACCGTGTAATGCTGTGAGCCAGGGCATGGGTTGCATGGCCATCTCTGGCATGGTGGCAGGATGTGCCCTGACACAGGCCTGCGATTCCCTCCGTAAGTGGCCCAGGGAGAGACTGGTACGTCCTCTGGTGCACTGGTCAGTTTGCCTCGGTGATGGTGGTCATAGGTCGAGTGACCTTTGGGTTGGGTGAGATGGGGACATTCTCATCTTTGGCAAAGGGTCTCTCGCCACGCCACTGGGGCCCGGGCCCACCTTGCTGAGACCCGGGGTCACTGGGATGTGAAGTTTAGCCAGCTGAGGGCTGTGACAGTGGCCTGCCACCCAAGAGCGATTTGAGTGGGTCGAATTCAAACCATGTGGCCAAGGCCACGTATGGAGGCGCTCTGCAGACTGGCCAGGCCTCCAGGGGAAGGAAGCCCGCAGCTTCAGTGGGACTGCCCTGTCCAGCCACAGCCTTCCCCTCCTCTCTGAAGGGCTCCTCACGTGTACATGCCCGCTGGGTAGGGACCGGGGAGCAAATCCACCCGGTTGGGAATCTGCACCTTGGCCCCCATGAGGACAGAGCCCCGAGCAGACTCTTCCTCACTGCGCTTCAGGGCCGAGCGAGGTCATCAGTGCCCCGCTCACTGCCCCCCCAACCTCACAAGCAGAGCATGCCTCTCAGTTCTCCCTCCCCTGTTCAGAGGGTAAAAGCAGCCTCTCCCAGGCAGACCCCCAGGCCCAACAGGTTCCTGAGCAGTCGGGGCTTGTCGGTAAAGGGGCTGCCCAGGGCCAGCTCTGTTCTGGTGTTAAGGCAGTTGACCCCACATGGCTGGCCCCACAGTTCGAATCCTGGCCTTGGTGGCTTAGAAAACATTGCTGGCACATGTGCGAGGAGGTGGAAAAGGGATTATAGTGTGACCACTCCCCTTGGGGCCGGGGTGCTTCTTTCTCCCTCTCTGGCAAGTACATGTGCTCTGCAAAAAAGAAAGGAAGAAAAAGAAAAGAAAGAAAAGAAAAGAAAAAAGAAAAGAAAAGAAAAGAAAAGAAAAGAAAAGAAAAGAAAAGAAAAGAAAAAAGGAAGAGGCACTTGGCAAAGTAGGGCTTTCTCAGAAATAATCACAGTGGTATGCACGAAGCAAAGCAAAGGGGCCCGGGGCGACGTCCGCCCCTGAGCCCACCTGCCACCTCCCCACCGCAGGGTGGCTTGCAGGCACGTCAGAGCAGGTTTGGGTGAGGGACGCAGAAGCCCTGGGGAGCTTGGGGAGCGCACTTCGTCTTCCTCACCTTGCCAAGGCCAGGCTGGCACATGGCACAGGGGAAGAAGTTCTGGCTCAGCCCAGGGCCTCTACAACCTGGCACTGACCCCTGCTGGCACCAGAGCCTAGACTCAGGCCATGAAAGGTGAGAGAAAGGAGGTGACAAAGCAAAATGCAAATCAAATGGTCTAAGGCCGAAGGGAAAAATTCAAAGGCAAGTAAAAGGCAGAGGGGTATTTACGGAACGTGGTGGGGCGCCAGCTCTTTGCCCTCCTCTGGAAAAAGAAAAATAGAAAGAGACAAAAACGGGTGGAAGCCCTAAAAAGGCAATTTACAAAAGGAAAAATTAATACAAGTAGTCAATAAACTTGGAAATCCTGGAAACCAACGCATTAGGAAGGAAAGAGAGACAGAGCTGGCCCAGGGGCTGGGGCCCAGGGCCTGGGGCTAAGGGAGCCGGGTCCCACATGGCTGACTGCAGGTCGACTCCCAGTCCCAGCAGTTAGACATCAGATGCCTGTGCACATGTGCCCAGAGTCCCGACAGGGTGGAGGGACGGAGAAGGGATTGCGGGGGACTGTGGAGAGCCGGCCATGCTGAACAGACGCCGTTAGCAAGCTTCATTTGTCGAAGGTCGCCATGTTTATTCAGCATGGCCGGCTCTCCACAGTTGACCATGTCCCACTGGAGGGTGCTTTCTCTCCTTCTCTGTGGTGAAAGAATGCACCCTCTGGCAATTAAAAAACAGAGAGAATGCAGCCTGTGTGTGCGCAAGCGTGTGCGTGTATGTGTGCGCAAGTGTGTGCGTGCTCACACATGCAACCTATCACCCCAGCCACGCCATCCTGTCTCCCGAGGATTTCTACAAAGGCCTAGCTGATTCGTGCTGCCCTCTGCTCTCCACATCTTCTCTTCCCTGGGATCAGGATACCCTTCCACAACTCCTGTCCCGATCCCAGTCCCCCGCCTGCCCGCAATGCCGGGCCAGCCGCCTGCACCTCTCCTCTGCTCCGGCCAGCAATTCCTGCCTCAGGCCCTTTCAGTCCCACACTGGTTGCCCTCACCTCAGCTCTGCACTTCTCTCCCTCACCGAGTCTAAGCTGAGCAGAGCTCAGCTTTGCAGCCCCAGCGCCCAGATGCTGCTGCTATGGGTAGGAAATGAAAGACTCGGAGAGTGGAAGAGCGAGGTCGGCCCCTTGGCCCGGCACCCCTGCCCAGGGGACAGACCCCAATCAGGTAGGCTGCCCGGTGTCTGCGGCTCACGGCCTTTACAGGTCACCTGCGAGGGGCCCGAGACACCACGTGTTTGAAAGGATGAGAATCTGCAGACATGGACAAATGGTCACATCATGCGACATGAGCCCAGCCGACGAGATGGCTGCACCTGTCGGGGTTAGGAGGACGGAGCCATCACGTTCGTGCTGTCGGATGGTGAGAGAGGGAAGAGCAGCCCCAGCAGTGGAGCTGGCCTGGCACTGGCTGAGCGCAGCCCGTGTCACAGAACACGGACCCCGGGCAAGGCTGTTCCCGGACATGACAAGTCAAGATGAAGATGAGGCCCCCGTGATCATGTGTGAACACAGACAAAACATGGGCTTCCTCACCCCCCGCCCACTACTTAACACCCCTGCTTCACTAGTTCGGGCTCCTGCGCCTGGTTCTAGGCTTCCCTCCCTGCAGGGAAGGTTTAGGATGCCACCGCACACCACCTTGCCGAGACCTCCCAACCAGAGCAAAGCCGGTCTCTTAAGCCCTCCCCAGAACAACCACCAGGGGGCTGGGTCCTACAAGCCCTTCCTGATCCGCTCCCACTGATGACCTGTGGTCCCATAGTGCTGTTCTCCCTGCAATAAATCAACCCAAACTGCCAGTTCTGGTGTGTCCGAGGTGCTCTCTAGCTAGTGGCAAAATCCTGGATTTTCTTTTTCCTTCTGTATTCATAACCTTTTCTAGACTAAGCCTATTGGGTAGTGAAACAAATAAAACACAAAAAAAGTGGGGCCGGTGGGGAAGAAGGAGTTGTGGCGGTGGCCATGCTCCCTGGGAAGTGACTTCTCACTTTCCCTCTCACTGCCTCTCTCTCCAGGGAGCACACGTGCTCTATGGTACAAACCTAAAAAAAAAAAAGTAAAAGAAGTCCCTTCCGAGTAGACTTAAAACCAAAACAAGGGGCCAGCAGGTGGCATGGTGGTTAAAGGTGCTGGACTCCCACATGACCGCGGTTCGAGTCCTGGATCTGGCAGCTTGCTTTCTCACTTTCCCCCTGCCACTCTGTCCCTCTCTGGTCAAATTAAAATAAATAAAGCTAAAAAAAATTCTAAAACTAAAACAAAACAAAAAACAAAGATTCCCTGCACAATGGTGCAGATTGAGAAATCAGTGTTGATTAAGAAATCAAAATTTTTGTTAACTGTAGAATTTCTCTTCTAAAAAAGGGTAAAATCCTATGTGAAAATAACCATAAATTAGCAAGAAGTCAAAGGTACTCAGACAATAGTTAAAGCTTGTTACTTTACTTTTTTTAAAATTTGCTAGAGGGCATGTGCGAGAGAGACAGAGGTGGGGGGGAGTGAGAAAGCACCCCCATGGGAGATGGTCACAAGGCAATCCTTCTCTATTTCTCCTTCGGGATCTTGGGGAGACACGCACATGCTCTGTGTGTCTTTCAAGCCACAGGCTAGGACTAGAACCATGCAGTTGGCTGTGTGGGATCCAGCCACCTTAACTCCCACGCCATCAGCTGGCCCAACCTTGTTACTTTACTGAAAGATGGAAGGTAGAAATGCTAACCCCCAGCCAGCAGGGGAAAGGGAGGACAAGAGAGACCTCAGGGGAAGGGATGCTCGGACGAGCTGACTTACAAACTGCCCCTCATCGATGCCGATGACAGCCACACCAAGGGCCTCCTGGGCCACGTCCCGGAGCAGGCAGGCCGGCAGCGCCTCCATGGTGTTCCTGCGAAGAGAAAGTGTGAGCAAGACCAGAGCCCAGGAGATCGGAGACTGGAAACCAGAGTGCCCCAGGGAAGGGCTCCACCTTGGTCGGCCGAGCTGGGAGACGCCCGAGCCTATGGGACAGGGTGCAAGAGAAAGCCAGTTACTCAGGGCTGACTCCATGCCCCGGCAGTTAAGGCAGCCAGAACCCATCTGCGCGATTCAAGCCCCAGACCCAGCGGTCTGTGAAACACGTGGGGCACGTGTGCAGATTGCCCAAGGTCCTGGAAGGAGAGAGGTGGACGAGAGGGGACTGTGGTGTGCTTTCTTTTCATGACCTGTGGGGGTGCTTTCTTTTCTCCCTATTTCTCTCTGCCAAACACATGCACCTTCTAGAAAAATGAAAAAACAGCTAGCCAGGTGGTGGGTGTGGAAGTTTAAGATGGCTGGATCCCACATGGCCAATCACACAGTTCGAGTTCCGGACCCAGAGGCTTGGAAACATGCCAGGTGCATGCATGTGCATGCCCAAAATCCCAAGAGGAGAATGGAGGAGGGACTGCGGTGTAGCTGTCCCCTGTGGGGGGTGCTTTTTCACATTCCCCCCCTCTCTGTCTCTCTCCAGAGAGTGCCAGTGAGTGCAGGTGCCCATTAGAGGCAGGACAGTCCCCTTCCCCCCCAGTTGTGACAACTGAAACTGCCTGCATACATATTAAATGGACTCGGGGGGCAAAATCACCCCTAGTGAACCCCTGGGTCAAGAGTCCTGTGAAGAGAGGAGCCCCAGGCTAAGCTCACTGGGAAGTTTGCAATTTGCACTGCGCTAGGCCAGGCCGCGGCACTGCCAACCATCCCACTAACGACCCTGACAAGATGTCCCAGGTCTTGTGAGGTTCCCTGGACGGGACTGCGGAGGGGAGGGACTGACCGGTCATGTGTGGAGAAGCTGCTGGAGTAGCGAGTGTCTTTGGCATACTTGATGACCAGGCACTTGTACTGGGCAATCTGGAAGCGACGGACCCTTCTCATCAGCTCCGTGCTGCAGGGCAAGAGGGTCAGTTAAGGCACACAGCCCAAGAGCAGGAGGGGAGTCCCATCTGCAGAGCTGGGCTCTCCCTGGGGCTGGGACCCACCCAAAGAGGCAAAGACAGCAGGCAGAGCCTGGGAACAGGGAAGAAGGGCGGGGCCTGGGAACAGGGAGGAAGGCGGGGCCTGGGAGTTCAAAGCCTGGAGATGGAGGGAGTGCACATGTGCGGTCTGTGATCACCGTGGGGCCTGGGGACATGACACCCACAATCAGGGTGGGAAGCCAGAGTCCTCTGTGGGGAGGGTGGTCAGGAATGGCCCTCAGGTGGTTCCAGGACAGGGTAGAGGGGTACGTTTCTCAGAGATACGGTGGGGAGGGTGGGCAGTGGCAAAGGAGACCTGCAGATGGGATTGCAAAGTGTCCCATGCCAGAGATGTTCAGTTTTTCTGAGTTAACGTCACAAAGTCTTCTCTTGCGATGTCTAAAGCCTTTGTTTCTAGGTCTGGGAAGTTCAGCCTTGGGCCTTGCCTTCTGGGCAAGGGGTTGGAGCTGGGTAATGTTAGGAGGGGGAGGTAGTGGGGGCGCACCAGCTCAGGGAATGGTTCTATCACTCCGGCTAGCTAACAGACACCGCCTGGCCCACGGTGTCAAAGACTAGACACCTCCTTCTAGAGGACTTGGGGGACTGAGCTGTGCCGGCGCCTTCTCCTCTCCGGGGGAGTACCCCCACCCCCGCTCCGTTGAGTGGAGGACTCTCAAGGCAGTCTCTACATGAGCTTCAGGCTGCGGAGGGGCGCGCGGGGACAGGGTCCCTGGGGAGGAAGAGGCCCACCACACCCCACGAAGCCATTACCTTTTTCCTGAGAACATGGGCCCGAGAATCACCTAGGAGAGAAGAAGAGGTCACTCCGGGGCTGAGCCGCACAGACGCCCCAGCCCTGACAACCACTTGGTCCCGGCCACGCCCCGACCTCCGCACCTGGATCTGGCCCCGGGTCTTGCTGGGAGAGCCGGGCAGCACAGTGGGCAGGTTGATGCAGCTCATGGCGCCTCCGGGAAGTTAACAAATCGTAGAAGCTTCAGCGGTCGCTGCCCTGCAGACTCAACACCGGTTCCCGCGCCTGGCGCTTTTACCTTCGGTGCGTTAGCCAATCAGGAGCCGGCATCACCGCGGCGTGGCCAATCGGCACACGGCTGCGGAGCTGGCGGGAGATTTGCTCGCAGCCCCTCCCCTCGCGGGAGGGATCCCGGACGCGCGCGCGGGGACTGGGCGGGCTCGGGAAATCCGGGCAGTGGGCGGGGTCGCGTGGGCGGGGCCACCTGGGCGGGGCCTGGTCCGAGCCTCGCCCCGCCCGCCCAGCGCGTCCCGCCCACCGAGTATAAAAGGTCTGGCGCGAGCGTTTTCAGTAGTACACGGTGGAATGGACGGGTCTACCGGTGATGCAGGCGAGGCTTCCTGGAAGAAGATGTCTGCAGAGGTAGGCGGGTGGCGGGGAGAGAACCCTGAGAAGGAAGTTTGGAAGCCCTCTAGACCACTCCTGTGGGCGCCCTTGAGCGCCTCGGTATGCCAGGCCCCGACCTGGTGCGCCTCTCGTCACAGGCAGATTTCGTTAGCCTGGATTGAAGGCTAAAGAAGTTGAAGTCCTGGGTGTGTTGGCACCCGTCGGCCCGCAGGAGGGTAGGGACGGAGTTCGGGACCTTACTGCGACGCTGTCCAGCGTATTCGGGTCTGGGCTTGTGTGCAGAAGCTGCGGGTTGCAGAAAGGTTGGCATTTCCTGCAGGTTTGCTGCGAGGGTTAGGAACGACGCATGCAAAACACACGGACGGGAACTGGCACTTGTTCTCACCCTCATTCCATTATCATTTCCTCAGTAGTTTCCCTGCACTGTCGGCAGGGGTTCTTTATCTGGTCATGGACTCACCTGAGAATCCTATGAAAGTTATGGACACTTCCTGGGATTTCCCTCCCCACTAGGTGCTTCAGATAACACCAAAGATCCACAGTCTACAGGTGCACCAGGGCCAGCCGCACCTTTTACCAAGCGACAGCCTTAGAGGGAGATGAGGTCTCATGACTGCACAGCTAAGGCTGTTGTGGGTGCCCCTCGTACAGGAAATCCCTCAAGCCCTCTCACACAACACACACACACACACATACATACACACTCACACACATACATGCACACTCACACACATACATGCACACACACTCACACACGCGCGTGCACGCACACTGACCTGCAATACTCTCAGAAACCTGCTGCATTTTCACCTTCATAGACGGTGGCATCCTACAGACCCAGGACCCTCCAGCCAAGAGCCCGGTTCAGCTGGAGGAGGAGCGCCCACATTCGAGTGTCTGGCTCTGCTCCACTCAGGCACTTTCTCTCTTACCCTGAGCGGCGGCTATGTGCCTGGTTACCCAGCCAGAACCAGAGACTGAGAAACCCCCGGGAAAGAACAGCCAATGAGGGATGGAGGCTGGAGGGCATGTACCCCCAACTCCCACCCCACTCCACCCCCCAGCCGTCTTGCCATGAGGCCCCCTCAAATTTGCCATGGAAATGGCTTTGCCCCTTCTTCCCTTCCCTTCCCTTTCAGCGTGCAGTCTGAATCCCTTAGACTGACGTTCAGCACCCTCTGACCCAGGCCCCATCAGAGTCAGCATTTGCTCACTGACTTGAAGTCTTCTCCATGCATGTGACTGCTGTGTCCCCCTGCAGTCAGAGCTGCACCCCCGCCATGGGGAAGATCAGCTCCGTGTGGCCATCCCTGCCACAGTCACCCAGGCTGCCCAGCCTTCCGTGTCCTTAGCCACTGTAAGAGGGGCGCCCACAACGGCCTTAGCTGAGCAGTCATGAGAACTCGTCTCCCTCTAAGACTGTCGCTTGGTAAAAGGTGCGGCTGGCCCTGGTGCACCTGTAGACTGTAGATCTTTGGTGTTGCCTGAAGCACCTAGTGGGAGGAAAGGGGGCAGATTGCCAGCCTTGGAGTTGGAGGGGCTTGGAGGAAGCTGAGACCATCCTTGCTGCCGGGGATATTGGGGAGAACTCTCAAGGTGCGAGGAGCGTCCCAGCATGTGGAGGGATGGGCACCCTCGGTGTTGGGAGTGGGGCTCTTAGGAGCCTTGCGTCTGTCTTCCAGGAGCTGGAGAATCAGTACTCCCCCAGCAGATGGGTTGTGCACCTGGGAGCAGAGGAAGCCCTGAGGACCTACTCACAGATCGGAAAAGAGGGTACCCATGGGATAGCTCTGTGGCTGCACCGGTGACCTTTAGCATTTGGTTCAGAACGTGGAGGGGGGCGTATCACCCCAGCCCCGAAGGCCATTTCCCACACAGCAGGCCTGCACGTGTGCCTGCTCTGCTCAGATGCCTTCGCTGGGGGTTCGAGGGGGGTTAGTCGTCTGGGTGAGATCCATGGCTAGTGGACCACGCTTGGCCTTTCAGCCCAGCTGGCCACGCTCAGGCTTTAAGGCCGTAGGCCATGGTGAGCACAGGAAGCGGGAGTGAACGAGGAACAGGGCAGGGACGAGGCCTACCTCCGCGTCCACTGCTCAGCGTGGGGTGCTGCCGTTATGCGGGAACTGCCCTGGGGCACAGTGGTTAGGTGCCGTGCAGGAGGAGCTGAAGCCCACATGGCCCACCAGGGTTTGACTCTGGGCCCCGTTGGCTGGAAAGGCATGCTGGGCATTTGCAGTCCTGACTGGAAGGAGAACTGGAGGAGAAGGGCTCGCGTGAGGTGTGAGCAGGCCCCGTGGTGGTGGTGTGCTTTCGCTCGCTCTCTCTCACCTCTGGCATCAAAAACAAAAATTCTGTGGGGAAAAAAGAAATTAAAATACTAGTTTATTTGGGTGCAAAAAATTTTTTTAATCCATGCACAGTTTTTTCATAATGCACATTTTCCATGAGCTTTCTGAGGGTTCCTCATATCTCTAAAATGTAGTGAAGACTTTTTCCTCTTTAAAGGAATCAGGGCCTGGGAACTGCACGCTAGTGAAGACTGGTGAATTCCACCACTGTGCTGCCTGCACTCTGCCTGGAGTGCTGGCCCTGCCTGCGGCCCTCGCACCCTCGTGCCACCTGGGGAAGCTGGCTCCCCGGAGGACATGTGGGCCAGGAAGCAGCTGGCCTTCCCACCCAGAGGACAGTCGGAGGCTGGCCAACCTGCTTTCTCTCTGGTGACTGAGCAGAGCTCGATAGAACAGTTTCTGCCTTGGAAGCAGCTTCCTGGGCCCCCAGAGTTGGTGGCTTTCTAACTGGATAAGCCAGGCGAAGGAACAGGCTTGTCGGGGGTTTATTCCAGCACATTCTACCATCCTCCTGAGCCTGATGGGTGTGGGGTGGAGCTTTTTCTTGCTGTTCCCAGCTCTGTGCCAAATATGTCAGTATTTGCTCAGTAAATATTTGGGTGTTTGAAGAACAGCTGTTTGCCATTGGTTACTGACGTCAGGGACAGAAGCGCTGACCCCTTGGGAAGGATGTCAGACGAAGAGGCTGCAGGTTGTGTCAGCTCTCGAGTACCCAGTCCCTCTCTGTCGGTCCCCGGGAGCGCTTCCTTCCCGAGGTTCCAGTAGATCCAGTGGTCTGCGGCTGTCTGCGGCCCATTTCACAAACCTGTGATAGGGCAGGATCAGGGCAAGGGAAGCGAGGCCAGCCCGTGCATGCGCAGGGCCTATATTTATTTAAAATTTTGAATTTTGGAGGGCCAGAGGATGGCGTGGAGGTTAAGGCACTGGATTCCCATATGGCCAGTCATGGTTTGAGTCCCAGTCCCGGAGGCTTGAAAGTCGCCCTGGGTGCATGTGTGTGTGTGTGCCCAAAATCCTGAGAGAAGAAGGGATGATGGTGTGGCCGTCCTTGTTGGGGAGTGATTTCTCTCTTTACCTCTCTCTGAGTGTACACACCCAATGGCAAAACCTAAAAAACAGAAAAGAAAAAAAAGAAACTTTTTCGAATTTTTAAAACTTGGGCAGAGAGCCTGTGAGATCACCAGAGAGAGACAGAGAGAGGAGTAAGTGTTCCCCGTGGGAAATGGTCATGCTGCAATCCCTTCTCCTCCTTCCCTTCCTCCCAGGATTTTGGGCACACATGCACACGTGTGTTTTATCAAGCTGCCGGATCTGGGGTCCGAACATGAGGTCAGCCAGGTGGGATCTGGCTGACGTAACCCCCAGGCCGTGCAGCAGGCCCAGAGCAGCATTCTGCTTCCTTCTGTCTTACCCTATGTAGTGCCCCACCGCACTACTTTGCCAGCGGGGCAAGTCCAGGCCATGGCGATGCTGGGTGCACCCGCCCCAGGGCCAAAG